TGCTATGGACCAGGCCATGTTACCTCTCTAAACCTGGCACATAGTAGGTGCTCTTGAATGGTTTTAAAGAACTCACTTAGAAGCTAAAAGAACCCTGGGCAGGAAAGAGCAGTAAGTATGAGGGGGAGAGAAAGCCCAGCCCCTCCTCATTGCCGCCCCTGCCAGGCTCAGCCGTGTGTGTAGGTGGACACCCTCTCTCCCGAGGCCAAGGGTGGCTTCGGGGTGGGCAGCAGCTGCCTTGGACCATGGGCATGAGCCCAGGACGCAAATGGGCCCCACCTGTGGCTCTGCACCCCGAAGGGCGCCCCGGTGAACCATTTAGTGGCCATGGAGCCGGCGCGGTTCCAGCCACGAGCTCCGGCGGCATCCTTGCCTTCCCTCATGGCAGGCCTGCGCTCCGACCGCCTCCGCTGCTGCCACGGCAACGTGGGCCTTGTGATGCGCCCCGTAGGCCGCGCCCTCGCCCACGTGGCGCCCCCACCGGCGTGCGCACGTAGCGGGCTGATTTTTCCCTTGTCCATGCACATTTTCACGGTCCTTCCCTGGCCCCTGCAGATATAATGGCCCTTCTTGTATTTACTATGGATGCCAGTGGGTGGGGTCTTACAGCCATTTGTTGAGCAAGTATTTCTGATTTTTGGCTTTATCCCAGAGCCCTGCATGGAGCCTGCCTAGGCTCAGAAAGAACCTTTTAATGTTCACCTTGTGCTGATGGGAAACAGGCCCACAGAGAGGGCAGACTTGGGCAAATGACATCCCAGCTCCTTCTCCATTTCGGGAGTCAGGGGAGCCGAAGTAAGGGGGAAAGGGCAAGGAAAGCCAGAGGGTGGAGGGCTGGGCAAGGCTGCAGGGGCAGTCAGGATTCAATCGGCCCCTAGACGTCCCTGGCACCCACTCTGGGCAAACACCATGCAGAATGCCTGGGACCCAGATGTGGTCCTTGCCCTGAAAATAATGGGGGAAGCAATGACCACATACTATGGTCAGGTCCATGAGAGAGGGAGGCCTCTGACCCAGCCCGTGGGTAGGTAGGTCAGGGAAGACTTCCTGGAGGAGGAGAATTCCAAACTCAACATTGAAGCATATGGATGACTTTCTTTTTGTTTGTTTGTTTGGTTTTTTTGAGACGGAGTCTGGCTCTGTCTCCCAGGCTGGAGTGCAGTGGTGCGATCTCGGCTCACTGCAAACTCCACCTCCCAGGTTCAGGCCATTCTCCTGCCTCAGCCTCCCGAGCAGCTGGGACTACAGGCGCCTGCCACACGTCCGGCTAATTTTTTTGTATTTTTAGTAGAGACGGGGTTTCACAGCGTTCGTCAGGATGGTCTCGATCTCCTGACCTCGTGATCCGCCCGCCTCGGCCTCCCAAAGTGCTGGAATTACAGGTGTGAGCCACCGCGCCCGGCCCATGTGGATGACTTTCTAAGTAAAGAAAGGAATTGAGGGTATGGACCCCACCCAGGGCATAGTCAGTTCTCTCTTCCCTTCTGCCTTACCCCCCAACCAGTGCTCCACAGCCATGCTCTGAGATTGTCTAATTTCTCCCACGATGGCCTGTGATCTTCCCAAGGGTCTTAGGCCCAAAGGTGGGGCAGAGATTCATATCCCATTCCATGGTGACAGGATTGAAGCCAGAGAGGTGTAGGTTGTACCAGAGGTCCTGCTTCCAGCCCATGGTGAAGCTGAACCAGAGGCACAGTGGGTCTTCTGCCAGGCCCCACCCAATGCCCTTCTGACATCCCAAGCTAGTATTTAAATAAGAAGTGCGGCTCCCCAGCACAGCTGAGAGCTGGACTCTTGGGCTCCAGGCCTGGCGGGCACATGGCCACTGCTGGCAGAGCGTCTGCACTGCACCACTGAGCTGAGGGTCAGAGGTGGCAGGCCTCAGGAACATGCACAGAATGGAGAGCCTGGGTCATCTAAGCAGACTCTGCCCTTCCCAGCTGTGGGAACTTGAGCAAGTCACTTCTTTCTCTGAGTCACAGCATTATCGGTTTCATTCTATAAAATGAAAGTAATCATCTCTATCTCCCAGGCTGCTGTGAGGATGAAATGACCTGATTTAGGCAATACTCTTGGCACACAGCAGGCACTCAATTGGAGGTCATTCCCAGCCCTTGGTTAGGGACCTTTACAGATGCCTGAGGACAGACACTTGTCTCATTTCCTCCTGGTGCAGCATCTAGCACATAGTAAATGTTCAGGAAATATTTGCTGAATGACAAGGGAATGAATACATGCATCTAGTCCAGCTACCCAATAACACATAAATCCTCAAAGACACATTTAAATCTGGCTCTGCCACTTCCTGGGTGCTGACTTTGGGCAAGTTACCCTTGCCAACTTCAATTTCCTCTTCTGTGACATGGACCTATGACTGTAGCTTCCTGGAAAGGCTGTTTTGAGGTGTCGGTGAGGTGTGGATGTGCACACTCTCCAGTCCTGTGCACTTCAGCCAGCCCTGGGTCTGCTCCGGTATTCTCAGGGTGGTCCAGACATGCCTGCAGCTACATTGCTGCTTCTCTTCCGGCCTGAGCCCCATGGCTCCAGGACCCATGGAGGAATGACGAAAGGCTATAAGCCAAGGTCCACTGGGCTGGGAGTCCTGGCTGCCAGGAAGGCCTGGCTGCCAGGAAGGCCAGAACGGGCCAAGTGAGTCAGCTCTGCAGCAAGGCCGTCTGCTCTGGTCAGCCCAAAGTTTCCCATCACAGCAGCTTCCTTGTCTAGCACCTCACCCATTTTCTTTTATAGGCACCATTGCACCCTCATTGTACACAAGAGGAAACTAAGGCTCAGATGGGGAGAATAACTTGCCCTGGTCACATCTCATCAGGCATAGGGTCACACCATGAATATGGGACTCATAAGGACATTTGAGAGCTCCCTAGCTGCAAGACTGTCTAACCCGTCCAGACTCCAGAGCCACCTCGTATGTCAGTGGAATCAAGTCAAGCCATCTTTGCCCCATGGTCTGAAACCTCCAGCCACGAGGCTACTCTATCCCTAGGACACACCCTCCCCTGGAGAGCCTCTGGCCTTTTCATACCTTTGCTGCTGATGATATGCGCCCCCCACCAACCTACCCTTCCCACCCAATTCTTACTTATCTTCTTCAGAGTCCAATCAAAAGCCAAACCCACCCATTATGATGGTTATTATCTTTAAAAAATAGAAAATAACATATGTTGGAGAGGCTATAGAGAAATTGGAAGCTTTGGTCATCACTGGTGGGAAAGTAAAATAGTCCAGCTGCTATGGAAAACAGTATGGCAGTTTCTCAAAGAATTAAACATAGAATTACCATATGATCCAGCCATTTCTTTCCTGGGCATATACTCAGAAGAATTAAAGGCAGGAACTCAAACGTGTATTTGTATGCCCACGTTCATAGCAGCATTGTTCACAACAATCAAAAGGTAGAAGCAACACACGTGTGCATCAACAGATACATGGATAAACAAAATGTGATATATTCATACAATGGAATATTTTCAGCCTCTAAAAGGAAAGAAATTCTAACACGTGCTACCACATGGATGAATCTTGAAGACATTATGCTAAGGGAAATAAGCCAGTCACAAAAGAACAAATACTATATGATTCCACTTATGTAAGGTAACTAGAGTAGTTGAATTCACTGAAACAGAAATAGAATGGTGGGTACCAGGTGCTGGGTGGAGACAGAATGAGGAGTTATTGTTTAATGGGTATGGAGTTTCCATTTGGGAAGATGAAGAAGTTCTGGAGATGGAAGGTGGAAACAGTGGTACAACAGTGCCCTCAGGGACAAGGACAAGGCCAAGGGAGCATTCATACTCTTAATGCCACTGAACTGTACACTTGAAAATGGTTAACACCATAAATTTTTTGTGAAGTATACGTTGTTGCAATTTTTTTTTTCTTTGAGACAATGCTTTTTGCTCTTGTTGCCCAGGCTGGAGTGCAGTGGCACAATCTCGACTCACTGCAACCTCCACTTCCTGGCTTCAAGCGATTCTCCTGCTTCAGCGAGTAGCTGGGATTACAGGCACACGCCACCACGCCTGGCAAATTTTGTATTTTTAGTAGAGACGGGGTTTCTCCATGTTAGTCAGGCTGGTCGCAAACTCCCGACCTCAGGTGATCCACCTGCCTCGACCTCCCAAAGTCCTGGGATTACAGGCGTGAGCCACTGCGCCCGGCCTGCATTTTTTTTTTTCAAAGCCAAACCCTCTGTCAATCCATCCCTGATACTCTCAAGCGGGTAAGAGAACAAGTTTCATCACAATTAATTTTATATTTAAAAATCAACAGGTGAAACATAGCACCAGGATGTTGTTTTAATTTAACTTTTTTTTTTTTTTTTTTTTTTTTTGCTAATGTCAAATTTTTTTCAAGTTTCCTAATTGGCTCTATTTCCTGTTTTGAAATGCTGGTCTCTGTTGCTTCATCTTGAAATATATAGATATTTCATCTACATGAAATGTAAATATTTACATCTATATCTTTAGAGATACTCCAACTATATTTCACCTGTATATATTTTTCATCTGTCTATCAAGTTGAAACAACAGGGATGGCAGGAGCCAGGCCCAGGTGGAAGGAAGAGCGGGAGGAACTGGCCCCTGCAGCAGGGAGCACTGCCAGCCAGCCTCCAGGCTAGGGGTTAGGGGACCACTCTAGACCTGGGAGGAACACTGGCCAAAGCAAGAAAACTGGGACCACAGGTGGGGTGCAGGATGGGATGGGAACCAAGCTGGAGGAGTAGGAGCTAACATTTATCCAGAGTGGCCATTTATCAGGCTTACCTGATAAATGGGGAAGGATTGTCATCCAGTGTGGCAGGTCATACATTTATTAGGGTTGGAGAAGCAGGATTAGAACCAGCACATGCAGCCCATAGTTTTTGCACAGGAGCTCACTGCGGAGCAGAGGGGGCGCAGAGAAATTCCACGTAGGAAGCCTCATAAATAATGGTCAAAAAAGAGAGGAGGGAGGTGGCAGGTTCCATTCAGAGGAAGAGCACTGAGGACCTGCGGACAGGATGCGACAGCGGCAGGAGTGAGGGTGGCTGCCGCAGCTAGACTGGCCAGTCCTGACTCAGCTCAAGCAGACAGGGCGGAGGAGCGCCCCTGGAGGAAGGGCCCGGCCTTCAGCAACCTGGGGTTCCAGGCCTACCTACTTGGGTACGCCCAGTTCTGTGATCTGGGCAAGTTCTGTTCCTCCTCTGAGCCTCAGTTTCCTCCCTGCTTAGCAGAGTAAAAACACGCCTTTTGCTTTGCACCGAAGTTTGCACGCCTCGTATTTGACAATGCGCTTGTTCTTCTGGCACACCTGGTTGTGCAATGTCAGCGTCTAGAAGCAGCTGAGCAGCGAAAGCGGAAACACCCACAGGGCACTCCTCGGGCCCACCCACCTGCGGGAGGCGCCCTGAGACCGAGAGGCTGCCGGGCCCGGGGCCTCTGCCGGCTGCCCTTCGCCTCCCGCACGGCGCTCGCTCGGGGGACGCCCCCATCCACTGCCCTCCGCAGCCTCAGGCACAAGGGCAAGGCCAGGGAAGCAAAGGGGGCAGCCATGGCGGAGCCGGAGGCTGTGGCCGATGACCTAGACGCCCTCATCGACGACCTGGACTACCTGCCGGGCCACTTTCACCTGGAGATGCAGTTGAACTTCGAGCCGCACTCGCCGGCGCCGCAGCGCGCCCGGGACATGAAGCTGCAGCGGGAGGGTCTGCGGCAGGAGCTCGAGCTGGCGGCCGCCCCGCAGCGCCCCGCCGTGCGTCACCTCCTGGGCGCTTTCGCATTCTACCTGGAGGAGCTGGACGAGGCCCGCGAGTGCTTCCTCGAGGTGACCCGCGAGCACCCGGGCAACCTCAACGCCTGGGCCAATCTGGCACACGTGTACGGGCGGCTGGGCCAGGAGGAAGAGGAGGAGGCGTGCGCCGCGCGGCTGGCCAGCCTCATGGGCCTGGCGGAGGAGCCCGAAGCCGCCGGGGACCCCCAGCTCCGCGCCGCTCGCTGCCTGGCGGAGCAGGGCTACGCGCACGGCTTCGACGTGGGCTGCGCCAGCCCAGAGGAGCGTGCGCGGGGGCTGGCGGCAGGCATCGCGCTCTACGACAAGGCGCTGGGCTACGGGCAGCAGGTGGGTGACCCCTGTCTCCCTACCTCCCGCTGGGAGGACTGTGACCATGGTCCCTTCTGTCTGCAGAGATGCTCCGGTACCCCTGACTCTCCCTCAACCCCGGTTCTTCGGTCTCCCAAATGCCTGTCCAATGTGCATCCCCGGCCTGCCCCAGCCACTCCTGTAGCCCTCTCCTGGTCTAGGGAGTGGAACCGCTTCCTAGTAGGACTGCCTGCCCAAGCCTCTCTTTTGGAAACAGCACAAGCCCAACCTGGGCAATTCATCCTTCTTACCTTGCTCCTCCCAGCAAGTGCCTGTTCCTGCGCCTGTGCACATCCACCTAAGTAAAAGGCACAATCACGCATCCTGCCAGAAACTTGGGCACATTCCCACCTCTTCTCTCCCGCTCACTTCCATCCCCATCCATTCAGTCCCCAAATCTTGTCCCTTCAACCTCCTGTTATCTCTGAGGTCTCTCCACACTTCTCCAGCCTTCCTCTGCCAGCCCAGCTTCCATACCTTCCTGCATGCACCAGTGTAGCAGCTGTCACCCATCCTTGGGGTCCTGCCCTCCAGCTTGACCCTTCTGCCTCATCTTCCCATCTGCTGCCAGTGTGGTGGTGCTCCATCTCGCGGGCCATGTCCCCACTGCCTGGTAGATAATTCCTAGGCTCTTTGATGGGTATTTAACATCCTCCATGATCTACCTGTCTGTCCTTCCTCTGCCACGTTCCCCCTTCCAAGCCACTGTGTGTCACTTTGCCACACTCTACTTCCCCTTGTTCCTCCATGGGCCAGATCTCCTTACAGCTCACCTTGTCCCTTTCTCAGCCTCTTCCTGGGGTGCCCTTTGGCTCCACCTTTGCCTAGAAGGTTGTCTTTAGTCTCGGGTTGGTCTCAGACATCCCCTCCTCTAGGAAGCCTCCACTAACTCCTCAGGCTGGGTCAGCGCTTCCTCTGGGCTCCCATAGCACTGCTCACACTGTCCGTTTCCCAGCCTCCAGCTCAACCGTGAGGTCTCTGAGAGTGAGGACAATGTCTGTCTGGTTTACCACTGTAAACCCAATACACACCGGCACAGCACCTGGCACACAGTGGCACTCAATAAATGTATCTAATAAATGAATGGATATATGTGCAGCATAGGGCCTAGCACTCAATAGGCAAATACTAGGTATATTATCTACTGCTGCATAACAAATACCCCCAAAATTTAGCAACTTAAAATATTAAGTATATATTATGGCCCAGTTTTTGTGAGTCAGGAATCCAGGCATGGCTTCACTCAGTGCCCTCGGGCTGTGGTCTCATCTGAAGGCTTGCCTGACTAGGGGGATCTTCTTCCAAGCTCACTCACATGCTGTTGGCAGGATTCAGTTCCTCACTGGCTCCTGCCAATGGCTTCCCTCTTTTCCTTGCCACATGGACATTTCACCACTTTTGCTATTTTCTGCTCATTAGAAGCAAGTCACAGGTTCAGCCCACACTCAAAGGGGAGGATTACACAAAGACATGAATACCTGGAAGTGGGGATCACTGGGGCTATCTCGGAGGCAGCCTGTACTGAATGACAGATAAATGATGTGGTAGAGCATTATTCTCTTTTACAGAATAGGAAACCACAGTTCAGAGGGGTTCCATGAAGGCACAGCACAGACAGGGTTGAGCTGCTAACAATTATGTTTTATAATATTTTAGATTTGTGATATGTAAATAACAAGCCTTCACACATGGGTAGCACAACTCCCTTCACAAAGGCTCTGCACACTCCCCTCAGTGCCTTTTCCATGAATGTTCATGGCTTCTGTAAGAGAAGATGTGAGAGTCAAGACCTCAAAAGGTACAGGTTGGAGGGCATGGACCTGACTTAAGGACAGCATGCAGGGTAGGGGTTAAGAGAGTTGACTCTGAGTCAGATGGTCTGGGTCCAAATTCCAGCTCCCCCATGCTCACTCACTTCAAATCAGTGCTTAGCACCACCAATCTCCTTTTCCTTCTCTGTAAGATGGAGATAGTAATGTTACATATGTCATAGGCTTTGTCATCTGTAAAATAGGGACATCCTTCACTTGGTTGATGTCATAATTAACAGTTAATATTTGTAAAGCACCTAGAAAGAGCCTGCACAGGGATGAGCAGGGTCACAGATGACCCCTCCCTCTCCCTGGCTGGGAGAGCTTCCTCTGCTCTTAAGCTGAGTGTAGACATGACCACTGATTGCATGAGGTCAACAAGAACCCAGGTCTCTTGTTTCAATCCTGAGCCTGTGGCCCTGAATGCCAGGCTACCCTCAGTGGAAGGCATAGCCAACATTGATGTGTTGAGTGTGGTCATGGCAGCAGGTCATGGCAGCAGAGAGGGGCCTGAAGAGCCCTGGGCTAGGAGCCAGCAGGCCTAGGTTCTTGTCTCAGCTGCAACACTACCCACAGTGGGGCCTTCTCCTCCCCGGGCTTTGGTTTCTTCATCTGTAAAATGGGTGCAGGAAGCAGGGGCTACATGGTCTCTGAGGCACTTTCCTGCTCTTAGGAGGCCATTCACTGGGGGAAGTCTTCCTGGAGGAGGTGAGCAGGAAAGCAGTGATTGCGGGGTAGCTATCAAACAGAGGCTGGCTCTTCCCTCTCTGGGAACACGGCTACAGTGGGGACTCCCCAGTGAGTGAACATCCAGATGAGAAAGTGCTAAGCAGGATGCCCAGCACTCCAGGGAGGGAGCCTATTGCTCCACGGGGGTGTGGCTGCCAGCTCTGTGCTGTGTCCTGGGGCGTGGCCCAGCAGCTGCTCCACAGTTCTGCATAGAGCAGCTGTGGTCAGCCCCCTACACAAACCTCCAGAGAGAGTTTGGGATTTGGAGACCCCATTTATCATCTGAGGATTAGATGACATGCTTCTGAAGCACCTGGCACAGAGTAGGTGCTCAAGAAATAGTTACAGACAGGATGACACTAATGATGGTTGCATCATTTTAGAGTCCAGAGGTTTGGTTCTGAGCACCTAGTTCTGTTATTATTTTGCTGTGGGGCTGTGGACAAGTCCCTTGTCATCTCTTGTCACTTGCCTGAGTTCCCGCTTCATAAACATTGATCAGCTCCAGTTTTATTGGTATTATGCAACAAATGATGGGAGTAAAAATGCCCATAAACTGGAAAATTCTGTGCATGTCTGAGAGGTATTTATTGAGCATTTTAACATTTATTGAATACCTACTGTGTGCCAGACTCTGTTTTTAAGAAGTCCCTGCCTTTAAGAGGCGCTTGAACAAAAGGAGAAGCAAACATTTGCTTCTTCATTAACTATGCTTACCTGAGCCCCTCTTCTGGGAGTGGGAGCCAAAGGGACAAATCAGAGACATGTCTACTGCTGGCTGAGAACACAGGCATTCATCACAGGCCTGTGTCATTGGCAATTATCTCTAAGTACTGTACACCCAGAGGTCACACTTTCTGAACCCAAAACAGGGCCCCAGGGGCTGACAATGAAAGTACACTCTGGGGATATGGGGTCCGAAGCTTGGTATCAACAGGGACCTGGAAAGTCTGGGCCCTGTGGATAGAGTGGGAGTGACTGAGTCAGAGAGGGAACACGCCCCTTCAGCAGGAGTTCCCAGGCGGGAATGAGTGGGGACACACCCAGCAGGGGCATGGTGCGTGCAAAGGCCCTGTGGTGGGGCCTGCAAAGCATGGGGGCTTGAGTGCTGGCTGAACTGGGGCAAGGAATGAAGCTTGCCCAGGGTCACAGAGCTAGTAAATGGCAGTTAAATCCATGCCACCCTGGTTGACTGCAAAGTCTTTGCTCTTTCTGGAGAATTCAGAGAAGTGGGGTATAATGCAGATGGCTAGCAGGATGGTGAGGGGAGACCCCTCACAGGTGTACTCCTGGAAATCTAAGGCAGAGGAGTATGGAGAGAGAGGAGGTGGGTGGGTTGCCATGTGTCCAGAGACTGGGAAGGATGAGGTAGAAGGTGAAGTCAAAGTCAGACCAGAAGAGGAGGAGGAGGAGGAGGGACCCCCTGCAGTGAGAGATTTTCCATCTTTGTGGGGCTGGGACTCTCCCAGGTGGGGAAGAGCCTCTGGAGCTCAAAGGACAAAGAGCTGCTGAAGAACTGTGAACAGCTGCTCATCTGCTAACCTAAACTACAAAATAATAAGAACAAATTATACAAGAAAACGTTATAAAAGTTAATCATTCAGCCCATAATCTAAAAATAATCAGTGTTTGTATAGGAGGGGGTTTGTTTCTGTGACTTCCCTTCTTTGCTCTTCATTCCCTACCCTTACCTTCCTTCCTTCCTTCCTTCCTTCCTTCCTTTCTTTCTTTCTTTCTTTCTTTCTTTCTTTCTTTCTTTCTTTCTTTCTTTCTTTCTTTCTTTCTTTCTTTCTTTCTTTCTTTCAGACTGAGTCTGGAGTACAATGGCATGATCTCAGCTCAGTGCAACCTCCACCTCCCGGGTTCAAGCAATTTTCCTGCCTCAGCCTCCCAAGTAGCTGGGATTGCAGGCACCTGTCATCATGCCCAGCTAATTTCTGTATTTTTGTAGAGACTGGTTTTCACCATGTTGGCCAGGCTGGTCTTGAACTCCTGATCTCAGGTGACCCGCCTGGCTCCGCCTCCCAAAGTGCTGGGGTTATAGGCGTGAGCCACTGCACCCAGCCACATTTCTCTTTCTTAAATTACAAAAAAATATGAGAAGACAGATGGCTTTGATCACTCCCCTCCTCCTCCCATCACCCCTGTAAATATACACACATGTCCAGAGACTGGGAAGTCTGCACACGCCATCTCTCACACACTCACAGATGGACCGTCAGTGGCAAATCTCTAGATTGAGTAGCTATTAAGAGCACAAGCTTTGGAGTTAGACCAGGTGAGAATTCTGCCTCCATCACTAGCTGGCTACAGGCAATTCTTTATTCCTCTGAGCCTCAGTTTCCTTCTCCGTAAAATGGGGTTCTAACATGAACCTCACATGGTTGCTGTGAGGATTGAGAGAACATGAAGACCACCAGGCAGAAGCACGTGAGGTCC